TAAAACCTCCTCCACAACACAGTGGCCTCCCGCTGCCCCCCCCACACACATTTCTGGGTCGCCACTACAGCCCTGGTCCCAGCAGCCCAGACTCTCCCTCAGGTGAGTCTCCTCCACCCTGAACTGCACAACTGGTATCCGTTTGTCATTTGAGAAATGCCACACAAACACATACTGTACACACAAACACACTCCTGTGCTCACTCTGAAGGGGACACCGCCTGTTCCTTTCTGCTCACCTCCCGGCTGCCGGCTGACTCTGTGAGCCGTGTCTGTGGTGGCTACGCCATGTGTGGGGATCTAGGGGTTTAAAACAGCAGGCCTCCCATGCTCCCTGAATGGCAAAAATAAGTGCTTCCAATTTATTACACTGCGGACGCTTTATGAATCATCTCCTACTAACTTTGATCTGAGATGACAAGTACACGCTAATCAGTCCCAGTATACAAAAAAAGTAAAACATTTCAATCAACTAAACATTGATCTGTTCACTTTTCCAAATTGATCACAATGAACTAAGGCTCATGATGGAAATGCTACACTTTAACTGACCGGTTCGCTTTCACCTCACCTCTATAGATTAAACTAATGCTTCAGGTGAAACCATTTGTTCCTTTTGTGTCGAAGCTGCTCTCAGTAGATGACAAACAGGTACAACCCTGACCCAGACAGTTTAAGTTTCATGTTACTGGAACTCTGAAACAGGAACTCCTATTTAAAACCCTTCACATTTTGTTTAGTAATTGTTTCCACATCTAAAGCATTCATATCAAATGAATATAAAACAGCTTTAAGATCATATACTGTGAGTTAAAGGGAGATGTATGTGGAATTAAAGGAACCCTGCTTGTGTTTAGAAATATATATGTATTCAGGCTGGGTGTCTTTTAATTTGAATGTACATATACAAAGCTTTATAATTCAGTATTTGTACCAGCAGTTTTCATTAATTAAGTCTCACCAGTCTTTCTAAAAAAGGCTGGCTGCAGCATTTTCTATTTACCTCCTTTAATGTTTTTTTTTTTTTTATCAGGAATCATCCTTTTGATAACACATAAATTACAACTTTCACTTTATAGGATGCCATACCACACCACACTTAGTTAACAAAATATTTTACAAACAAGATGATATCACCCTCTCCATGATATTAATATGATATGTTCTCTGATCTGTAAACAGCTGGTTATCTTGCTTTTCCACGATAAGAGAAAGTGCTGAGGATTTACGCTTGGTGAGCACATTTGGGCTGAATCTTTCACACGTCACAAATTGCAGATGGGAAGCAGTGATCTTGAACAGCCGATCACATTTCCGTGACCATCTGACACCTTCCATTTAGGAAAATAATACTTTCTATCTTAGCATACCCCTCTGCAGCAGCCAGCAAAAGGAATTATGCCTGGTAGACTTTGCTATTCACAACTTTGAAGCTTCTTCTTTTCTTTTCATTGCACTGATTAGATGAGATGATCACTCTTTAATCATATATTCAAGGCTATAAGAACATCTACAGTTTGTATTGTTTTTATAATACATTTATGTTTTCAAACATTCAGAAATCGTACCGTAATGTATTACACAGGAATTTGTGTAGTAGTTAAGCATAAAATAAGGTGCTTATGAGTGAATTACAGTGTCCAAATGTCCTTTAACTGTTGCTATTCACTCTAATGTATACCCCTCTTGTATTTCTATAATGGGAAGAACAAAAACATGTTCAGGTTTCTTTACCCATAGAGGTAGATATGGTATCTGAGTAATATGACAGATAAATATGAGTCGGGTTAACTGGTACAGAGAGTTGTAAATCACTGTGGTGTGATTCTTTGTCTCAAAGGGTTTAATTAGTCTAGAAATTCTTCTCTTATCTGATGACCCCCCCCCCCCTCCTCTCTCTGCACACTGCAACAACTTAAAACCATACACGCCCTGCAATCTGAAGACCAGGGGCCTCAGGAGACTGAGTTGCTACAAAGAGCTGAAAGAGTTGGAAATGGTCATTTTATTGCGTTAGAATCGCCCGCTCGAGACTTGGGTAATGTAGTAACTGAGTGCTATGGTAAAGATAACAGTATGTGACTCCGAAGTGAAATACAGTGAAGTAATGCACTGCAGCTACTCTGAAAAGGAGGCAAAAGCCATCATAGTCGTAAACAACAACACAAACTGCCTTCTACAAACCACTAATTAATAAAAGAGAATTCTATGTTTCCTTCAGTGAGGATTATCATTTCAGATGCATTGCACAATCTAATCAGTCATCTCACAGAGTTCATGTAGAATAAATGTTCTCAGTACCTCTACAAGTGAGGGATATGCAGGCTGCCTGCTTGTCAAATACTCAAACATCAAACAATATTCTATAATAAATGCTACCTATATGTGGCCTGTTATAGCTTGACGGTAGCTTGGTGTTGCTCTATTTCATAGTACATGAACAAACCCATTTATCCCTATCTGTCATTTCATAACTTGTGAGGTATCTGTCACTTCTGGTCCCACGGGAGTCCTGTATGTAAGTTTCTTTACTTTAATTGAGCTCTTTATTTAACTGACAGTTTATTCTGTCCTAATAAGTCCTTTCAAACTGTTTTTCATCGGATTGTGACCACATTTTGTTTGTTTATTTTGAACCTGCAACCCACTAATGATTAGGATTTCCTCATTATTCATGTATGGGGTCATAGGATTGACACACTCTTAAGTAAGATTCTAGCTCCCCCACACACACACACACACACACACACACACACACACACACACACACACACACACACACACACACACACACACACACACACACACACACACACACATCATCTGAACACTAAAGAGAGAACTATGAATTAAGGTTGACTAAGTATTATGACAGTAACTACATTTATAAAACGGGACTGAAAGTTATTTTTTGTGCTATGAATTGCATGAATTGTTATGACAGTCACGCAAGACAACAAGTTATTTGAATTATTTCCATGTACTTGTTTTGATAGATAAAGGTTGGTCTTGTAGCTGAAAGTGTTAGTAGGCATATGGAATATAGATATTCAACACACTACTGTGCACTGATGGATGTTGTATTAGGTTTCAACCCTTTGTGTTATCAGGCCTGCAGCTCGACCCCAGGTTGTGAAACAGAGCACTGATCAGACAAGATAATATATATGTAAGAAAAACACTGTATGTTTTGTTAGGGTTTTATAACTTTACAGCACTTGTTGTGTTTCACAGTGTGTGTGGGGCATGGTGCCTTTGTCACATATATAAAAAAGGGGGATGCTTTAATGCCACATTATAAACAATGTGTGCACATTATAGTGCATCATGTATTTATGATGCAGATTCAAAACTTGAGTTTGTGTAGAACACCTTCTTTATTTGAAGGACTAGCAGGAGCAGAATGAGATGAGGGGTTATTTTGGCGATGGAGATTAAGGCAGGGGCTTTTTGTCATTTGTGCGAGACAAGCCATTCATCCATCCAGTTCACAGCCAAAAAAAGGCTGGTCCCAGAAATTAGCAGTTTCAGCTCAGCAGCAAAGTCGTCGGGCTGTGAAGGCAGAGAGAAATTGACTAATTAGCAATGCGCACTAAAACTTGACGGTTCTCTCTATAACAGCGAGGGAAAGACTCGGTTTTTCTCCCCCTTTCTCTTTTCTTTCTTCCATAGATGTTTGAAATCGCAGTCATTTACGCTCGACAGTTTTTACAATAGCCTTGAGCCATAATTTTGCGAGTCTCTCCAGCATCCATACCCCTGCATGGTCTCTCTCCACCGGCCATGCACGACCGTTTCTCTCCCCAACCGTGGATTTCCTATTACTCTCGTTACGACTCACTGAGCCCCAGGCCCAAGGATAATGATGTGTTGTTTCTTGGTAGCATAATTTGTCACACGTATATTTCTTCTTCTTCTTCTCTTGCAGAAAGCACAGCTCCCTCTCACACACTCACACACTTCTTGTTAATTCAGAAGAACAAATGATCAACGTCAACAAATAACCTGAAATAGTGACTTTATGAGTTGGAATCAATGGTTATTTTGAGACACCACCGACCATAGACTTTAAAGGAAAGGACATTTCTTTAAAAGGAGAACAAAGGAAATATCCAAGTGAGGAATATTGGGAACCTGAAGCTTACTTTCTTTTTTGTCAAGAGCTGAAGTCAGGTAAGTTTGGCTGCTTCTCAGGCGAGCTGCTCACATCATTTAGTTGTGACAGGCGCTTTTAGTGAATCTGGCTACAACGTTACAGCACGCTTGTGTTAAGTTTACACACATTACGCATGTAGTAATTGCTTTTTATACTGTCTAGAAAACAACCGATATGTATATTACGTTTAACTTTGCCGAAAACTGTATTTCAGTGAATATTTTTTCGCTACTCACGTCCGCTTTACTCATGTAGGCTAAACGCGAAACGCACCCGTAGTGTTGCTGACGGTTCGGAGACAAACTAATTGCTTTTGTATGACTCCTTGAAAATCTGTGCGAACTGTAATGTCCTCATTGTGGGGTTGTGCAGCAAGATAGGAGAAGGGATAAGTGTTAGCTGAATGCTGCATGTTATCCGTCCACCGTGTCTCTTTTTCCTTATCCTACAACTTCAGCCGCGTTACCGAGGGGGAAGCGCCGCAGCATCTCCGTATCTTCGGTTTGTTTTGACAGCGCCCTTCAGACACCAGCCCCGTTTTTAAATCATCTTGAGTTAAGAATGAAAAAGAGTGGGACGCTGTGGGAACTACTGCGTTTTTGTTTGTTGCTTTACGACCAGAGCTCAAAGTTGAAAGCCGTATTGATGTAGATTCTCGCCGGCTGGCATGGCATGATATCTCTTCCCCGCTGGATGCACGGGAGATCTGTGCTATAACTTACTCGGGAAACGGCTTTCTGTTGTAATAGCTGACTGATATCATCTATAGGCTGCTGTGTGTTGTGCTAAAAAAATACATGACCTGAGGTAAATGGCTTGCATGGTTTATTTGTTGCCTAGGTGGCGTTCACAGTCAGGAAGTCATGTCCAGATCGGGTGATAGAACATCCACCTTTGACCCAACACACAGTGACACCCTGCTGCACGGGCTCAACCTCTTATGGAGAAAACAGCTTTTCTGTGATGTGACTCTCACGGCCCAGGGACAGCAGTTTCACTGCCACAAAGCTGTGCTGGCATCCTGCTCCCAGTATTTCAGATCCCTCTTCTCTTCCCACAATATCATCAACAATGAGGGGAGCAAAGTGGACCAAGGCAGCAGTGGGACCCCTTCATCCTCTCCTGACGACAAGAGGGTGACCCCCAGTGCCAGGCCCATCAATAACCTGGTACTCCAGGGCTGCTCCTCCATTGGACTACGATTAGTGCTGGAGTACCTGTACACTGCCAACGTGACTCTTTCCCTGGACACGGTGGAAGAGGTGCTGTCAGTCAGCAAGATCCTCAATATCCCCCAGATTACCAAGCTCTGTGTGCAGTTCCTCAACGACCAGATCTCTGTGCAGAACTACAAGCAGATCTGCAAGATTGCCGCACTCCATGGACTGGATGAGACCAAGAAATTGGCCAACAAGTACCTGGTGGAGGATGTTCTGCTGCTGAACTTTGAGGAGATGTGCGCCATGCTAGACGCTCTGCCACCCCCTGTGGAGTCAGAGCTGGCTCTTTTCCAGATGTCAGTCCTCTGGCTGGAGCATGACCGGGAGACTCGCATGCACTATGCGCCGGACCTTATGAAGAGGCTGCGCTTCGCCCTCATACCTGCTCCAGAGCTGGTGGAGAGGGTGCAGTCTGTTGACTTTATGAGGACTGACCCTGTGTGCCAAAAGCTTCTCCTGGATGCCATGAACTACCACCTGATGCCCTTCAGACAGCACTGCAGGCAGACCACGTCAAGCAGGTGAGGATGACAAAGATAGAAAAGAAAACGCAGACACAAACACAAAGCAATGAGCTCTTTGAAAGTAGATGGAAGGTGATGAAATGACTCCCACTTGTTAAATGTGAACACAGTGCCGTCTGGTCTGCAGCCTGAAGTCTGGACCATGTAGGTGGTCAGTCTGAGATGTGAGGTCTGAGGCCAGAGTGATGATGAATGTGTGGCTATTCTTGTAAAAGACTGCTGGTTGATTGACTCTATACTACACTGTATGCATATCTACAAGGTTACCTTACGATTCAGTGAAGAAAAAACAGCTCTTTATTTCCTCACACATCTGTGTAATTGCTTTCTAATCAGTGTAGACAAGATGCCGAAAACTAGATAAAGGTTATGCATTTGAAGTGTAGCAACTCTCATGAATACGATTTGAAATGCTATAATTTAATTGTTACCAGGATTACATGGTAATTACGTAACAATCATGGAATCATGGAAGACTACCACAGCTATCAAGGATACATTAAACAACAATGAAAAATACAGTCAGAGGGAATTCATTATATTAGAGTATGTATTATTTGAGGATTGATAAAATCAGGGACACTTTGCAATTCGCCTTATTCTCAGGTTAGATAAACATTTCTCGCTCACATTATTGTCCATGTTTCTCCTGATCAGCACTTTGAGGAGCTGTAAGTAGGCAGGCGGTGTCAGTAAGATGATTGATTGATGGTGCTGTTGTCAGGTTTTGTTTACAGAACTGTACAGCCAAAGCTAAAAAAGTTGTGAGGCCAATTTCTTCTTTACTGCATACCTATACATATTAAGAGAGCAAATAATCAGCAAAAAAATAATGTTGCACAAAGAATGTCAAAATACAATAATTTCACATGTATCTATTTATACTTTAGCCCAATAACATATATTTTCCCACATATGGACCTGAATGAGCAAAGAATCGGCAATCCTCATAATTAGTTTCACATGCCACTGTTTCTCTCCTCTCAATTAATCACCATTATCTATGTCCAGGGGCTCATTTGCATATGAATAACCCCAAAACACTTCCGAGTCGGCCAGTAGCAGAGAGAATGTACCGAGACGACGGTTATTTTCCCAAGCATAAAAAAGTAAAATATGAAAAAGGTGAACCTGAGTCAGTTGCTCTTAATCTTTTTACTGCATATTGTGATTAATTGATAGCTTTGTGTTCATATCCATTAGGAGCCAGATAACGGTCATTAATGTACAGTAAAGTGTGCTGCTTTTGCGTTATGTATCATATACAAACAACAGGGAATATCTCACCACTGGTTCAATGATGTCACATGAATCACTGCAGCCAATGAAATGGAGACATTGTATAGCCAGGTTTATGTACTCAATTGTGCTTGTAGCCTCCAGCATGGCACCCTGCAGGATCGTCCTCGCTTCACAGCTAATTGAAAAGATATCTTTAGAGTACAATAACCATTCAATAACACATCAAAATGATAAGTACGCTGTTGAGCAATTTTTTGTTAATTATAATAACATGGCCACATATGGCCTGATGTGTAGCTTCAAGTCCAGTGTCTCTACCCAGACAAGGAACAGGTATTAATAGAATGCATACATTTATATTTTAATTAATTTGTTGATGATCTCATTCTTACATGGAGCATATTCAGAGGGATAGATTAAAACACGCTGGGCAACTGCTGCTAATACTATCAATCTTATTATGTAAATTAAGAAATGAAAGGTTTCCAGGTTCACCTTGAGCTTATTTTGGCCTTCTGGAGGTTTGATCCCAAGGCTTGATACCTGTTTTGTTCTGTTTCCTAACACCCACACTCTTGACTTTACAGAATCCGTTCCAATAAGAGGATGCTGTTACTGGTGGGTGGTTTGCCTCCTGGACCTGATCGTCTCCCCAGCAATTTGGTCCAGTTCTATGACGACGAAAAAAAGACATGGAAGATCCTCACAAGTGAGTAGCAAAAGGCTCTGCTGCCTTCTTTCTTTTTTTTTCACCCGAGGCATCTTGTGTTAGTGGCTTTTATGATGAGAAAAAGTTGTTCCTATGGATGACTTTAACACAGGTTAATTTCCATGGAAAATGAGGGGAAGGAGTTCCCTAAATCCTTTAGGTAATAATGTATCCCTATCACTTTTAATATACGTTTTTAATCAGAGCGTGACTTCACTGTGGAGAGCTTCATGCCCGGTTTCCCTTTTTTTTTGTGAAATATGGTGGCAGGATGCATGATGAGATTTACTTGCATCTAATAATCTAATGTAGCAGAGAGAGAGAGAGAACAATATTGAATGACATCTTTCCTCTAAATCTTAACAATACACTCAAATTGATCAATACGTGAGATTAAATTACCCTATACTTAAACGCAGCCTGTTGACCTGAAATCCCTATTTATATAGGTTTAAATAAGGTGAGTTCAAATCCAAAAGCAAATATATAACGTTTATTAATGAATTATAAAAGACATCTCCTATAACCTTTAGAAATGAATACCAGGGGTACAGTTTGTGATATTGATTTCATGATATCATATTGAATGCAAGTTCTCATAATATCACCAAAGAATGTATTCTATTTAAAAAAAAAAATACCATCTCTAGAGAACGTATGTGACGACTTCCTGCAACACTCACCTCTGTAGAGTGTACTATGCACTTTATTCTCCCTGTCTTCCCTGACCTTTTATGGCTCACCACTATATTGTTGTCATATTGCAAAGGTCAAACACGAGCTAATGGGAAACCATATTTGTCCTTTGCATCATCATTGCCGGATATATTGAGTTTTTGTCCGTTTGTTTTGGTTGTAGCCATATCTAGTCGTGTCTCTTCATTCGTACACATTAGCCATAGGTCTGTTTTCTGTCAGCTCGGTGCTGTGCGGTTTATATCCTCACATTATGGCACGCATTTTCAATGAATCTGGTTTATTGCTTCTGTCTTGTCTTGAATTCAAAGAACAATCTTGGCTATGGTTTCTTCCTCTGCTCTTATTATAAAATATTCTGGCAGTAATATGCTATTTTAATCTATATTTGGCCACATCTGTCTGGGTGCATTTTTGCTAAAAGGAGCCGTGCATACACAAAAACAGCCTGCAGCTCTCTGGTGTTTATATTGTCATTTTCTCATTTAACTCACACTCCTGGGTATAGACTGCACCAAGCAAAAGGTCAGTAGGGATTTCCATCACTCTAAACTAAAAAGTTAACACTCAAATGGTCCGTGGCCAAGTGGAAGGACAAAACTGCAAAATCATCCCCTTAACACATCAGTGAGCATCTTATGTAGCCTCCACACAATGGATGTGGAATAGAAGATTATTAACATTCAATCATAACTTTCAATGAGGCGAAACCTGAGAGGGACAGCCCTTGATTAAGACATTCATCAACACAATTTAGGGAAGAATCTGATCCCTCTCTAGTGTGTGTCATATATATCTCCTGCTCGCTGATTCCAGTGTAAAGTTTGCCATCTAGTGTACCCACAGCAGCGTGGACGAACACAAGACAAAGGCAGGCACAGGCTCACACACAATGCTGGACTATTCTCTTCTTCTTCTTCCTCTTCTTTTAAAACCAACCTGATATTAAAACCCCCCCCACTTGCAAATGGACCTCATCTACGCAGCATGGGCTAGAACAAAGGAATTGAGCTCAGTGGGATGCAATTGTAATGGTGTTAAAGGCACGTCAGAGCTGGAGCAGCAGTGGTGCATTAGCTGTGGAGTCACTCAACCAACCCCGACTGTGCCTCTATGCAGAGGTTTCTGACTCCCTCTAGTGAGCCCTGCAGCTCACTGTAGAATGGAGTGATGGCATCCATCTCACAGAGGACGTGCTCATCCTGTCCTCCTATGGCTGTTCACACCTGGGGGGGGGGGAATGTAAGGGCAGAGGGGACCTATAGTTAGATTATTTCATACTTTTTCTCAGGTGATCAGTACAATAATACACATTGTAGGAGGAAAAATAACAGATATGTTCTATTCTTTTCACTGTACAAGACTTGAGTAGAGGTCTAAATGATGATGTCCTATCCCGCTGTTCACCTCTGTGTGTGTGTGTGTGTGTGTGTGTGTGTGTGTGTGTGTGTGTGTCTCTTCTTCGCGGTTGTGTGTGTGTGTGGTGTGTTGTTGTGGTGTGTGTGTGTGTGTGTGTGTGTGTGTGTGTGTGTGTGTGTGTGTGTGTGTGTGTGTGTGTGTGTGTGTGTGTGTGTGTGTGGCACCTGTAGAGGCAAATATTCCCGCAGCACGCCTCATACTGCAGCCTGTGACATACTGTAAAGCAATAATCTTCTTTTCACACGGGTACAAGATGATTTTTAGTACGAGTACAAGTCGCTAGACATCAAATAAAAAGCCGCCCATCCGTGTCCTATATACTGCTGACTGAATGATAATGTAAATAGCATGTAAGGGAATTTGGCAGTCATATGGCACTCGTCTTTGAGGTGCACTGGAGGCAGGCAACCTAATCCCCTCGTTTCAAGATAAAGCTGTGTTTAGTGTATGTAGTATTAGTTCCTATCTGAGACCCCCCCGCCCACAGAGGACCGGCACATGTCAGCCAGCCAGAGTGAGATTGCAGGGAGAGGCCAATTGGAAAGAAATGAGATTCAAGGCTGTCTAATTTTGCAGCAACTGTGATCCATCAGGCGGTGGGGAGGTGACAGTGGAAATGACTGATGGAGACAGACAGGTGGGCTTTAACATTTCACTGATTTGTGCTCAAAAAGCACCGGGCCTGAGATTTATTGAGTGAACACGATCATGTTCATTATGACTGTCACCTAAGACCATTTCTCTACATCTCAATGGGGTCACTTCAGTAAAAAGAAGATGGAGGAGAGAAGGGAAGTACAAAACATACACAAGGGAAAATCCTCAGAGAGGGGTCCTGTTGCAGCGGTGGGCTTGTAGCCGCTAACTTATATAAGTATGATACATTCAAGATCATATTTGGTAGACATACTCAATATATAACGAGACAAATAGCTGCTGTGGGATATTTAATGTAAGATGAAGAAAAAGGGAAAACTATTGCACTGTGATATTCAGTCCTAGTACATGTAGTATTTACTGGAGGGTGACAACAGACGTTTATTGGCCTTATCAGATATTAAGGTAGATACGAAGTAGGTAGGTAGATGGTAGGTGAGTAAGTAGGTAGATATTATCGGAAAAAACAGTAGACTGTTTGCCCTGCCTCGTACTTTCATTAGTTCCAGTTTAATAGTCAACTGGCTTGATTCCCCACAAGAAATTACTTCCTGTAGATGGATGAATGGAAGCAGGCGAAAAGCAATGAGAAGGGGAAATACATCCTATAACATCGACTCAAACTGAGGATTGTGAAATAGACTGGGCTGTGTCCCTTGGACTGTTGTCCATATAAATATAGTGTTTGCATAAGGAACACATTTTTTATATTTATATTTTATAGTTTTAAGATGGATAATCTAATCTTAAGAACTACGGTAATTGTATTGTGTACAGACCTACAGTATATTGGGGCCTGGTGCATTTGAGACACAGGCGTTTTTGAGTTAATTTGTTTAAGAGTAGGATTCATTGTTAAAATAATCTTTATACATTTAATTGATGGCAGGTGAAGGTTAAATAAGAACTTCTTCTAAACCACACATTAAACAGTGGCCTAATACAATTCTGAGGGAAAAGAGTAGTTCTTTTTTTTTGTTGGTTGAGATCGTTTTTTTTATAAGCTCTTTAACCACCACTTATTGTGTTTGAGGGATAACCCTGTAATAGTCCAATAGTATAAAGCTGTGGAATTCAAAGGTTGAATTTGAAGTACTTATTTAATTTAAATTAATAATTGATTTATCGCGTATGTTTATCTGACTTTATTTCAGCACCAGTGCTCCGATAAGTGTGGCCTTAACAGCCTGGTTTACAAGCTGCTTTTCATTTTGGGGAATTATTCTTACTTGAAGATACAATGTCATCTTTATTTATGTACATTTATGAGAGATCATATAAATACTGCCTTGTATTCACATGTTCTAATGATTTATACCTTTTGATTTCTGTGTCTCCTTTAGTAATGCCTTACAACAGCGCCCATCACTGCGTGGTGGAGGTGGAGAACTTCATCCTGCTGCTGGGCGGAGAGGACCAGTGGAACCCCAACGGTACGCTCACACCACGGACTGAACGTCATGCTTTCCAGTGATTTCACTCAAGACATTTGTCAGTGTTTACTTCATTAAGAGAGCACTCTGAGCCAGAGTTCATGCAAGTTCAATCTCATCAGAGTTGATGTAACGTTTCCACACTCATCCTAGAGCCAGTTCAGCTCTGAGTGGACAAACAACACTCCACTCAACACTTGTCAATAATTGGCATCGAAAAATTACTGTTATTAACAGTTACATATATTTGCAATGTGTAAGTGTTAAAAGTACTTTTTGTGAAGGGGTGGTACAGTAACACATTACCATATTTAAAAAGAAAAGACTGTAAATGACCGACAAATCTGATACTGTCCTTTTGTTTTTGGTTTCAAAACAACCCCAAACAACATTCAATTTATTTGTGTTTATGTATCTCTGTTCATTAAGCTCTGCGAGGGAAAACCAACACAATATCAACACACATCATCACAAATAATTAAAGATGTTTTAAAAAACATTTCACTTACAACAATTACAGGACTTCAGTCATCACTTGTTGGCGGTGAAAAGCAGCACCTGCTAACACTGAAAATGACTGTGTGTGGGTGGTGACTTTCAGATAATGTGTTTATATTAGATGGAGACTTGCTATGTCACACTTGTGCATTTCATTGGTGCTGTGTAAAACAAAGAATTTGGGAAAAAGTAAACCAATTAGAACTGAGCTCACCCCAATAAGTCATTTTGTAATAATCTGTGTCACTGATCTTGATTTCTGTCTGTCTTTACAGGAAAGCACAGCACTCACTTTGTCAGCCGCTATGATCCCAGATTCAACAGTTGGATACAGTTACCTCCGATGCAGGAGAGGTAAGTTTGGTTGAATACAGAAATGTTATTTATAGTATAGTTGCTATAATCCAATACAGGTACAGTAAATGTGATGATGTATTATTTGACTTCACACGTTAAGACATTTTTAGATTAGATTTTTTAACAATTTCCACAAAAACATTATACATTTTTTCTATTTCTCATATAGAATTTATAAAGTCATACTACCTGAAATATTTTTTGAAAAAGTCATAATTCTTGGGTAAAGATAAGTCCTCTTAGCCGGTAAGCATGCTACTAGCCCAGTCTCGATAAGTTTAATATGTAAGATGATTTCGACTCCATGATAAAACTGTGGACAGTAAAACTTGTTGTTGCTGGTGTAGTGATGATGTCTGGTTGACACTTTCTTCCTCAGGAGAGCCAGTTTCTTTGCCTGCCGCATGGAGAAACACCTGTACGTGGTTGGTGGTAGGAACGAAAGCGGCTACCTCTCCAGCGTTGAGTCCTACAACCTGGAGACCAACGAGTGGACCTACCTGTCGCCTCTGCCGCAGCCGCTGGCCGCCCATGCAGGGGCCGTGCACAACGGCAAGATCTACATATCAGGTCAGGAGAGACACTCTTATTATCCTGTCTTCTTTTGACAAGAAAAAAACCTCTACCTCTGCAAATAATCTATTAGCCCTCTGCTCTTTATAATAAGCAGATTGGCACAACAGGCCACATGGTTCATTTTTGAGCTAATCAAAGAGGCTTTTTAAACATAATTACACTTGCATACAGTTTATCCGTGGGTCTTTCTGATGAATTCACTGAACAAGAAGGAGTCCAGATTTGCAGAACAGTAGAGTAAAAGTATCAATTTGCATTAAAGGGGAATACTCAAGTAAAGTAAAAATACCTAATTTACAGTACTTGAGTATATGTAGTTTAACTTTTTAGTAATACAAATCAGACAACAATTCATTTACAGTTGAGATGTACAGTAAATACGGTACTTTTACACGATCACATTTGTTTAAAACATATAGTTCTAAGATTAGGTTGTATTCTGTTTATAAAATATAATGCATTGTCGTTGATCAAATTACCCAAGATTATATTAAGTAGCTAAATAATCCTTCCCCATGACCCTGTGCAACATAAATGTGCTACTTACACAGCATTAGCATTTTTAATGAACTTAATACATGATAATCTAACATTAAGAGGTGTAATTTTGCTCCATAATGAGCAGTAAATTCTGCTTTTTGATTCATAATCAGGCAAAGAACTTGAATGTTGAAGGTGCCATGAAATGCAGCAACACAAATGTTTTAAAGCCAGCTCGATATACATTCAATACAACACGTATACTTCGTCTGGGATCTATAAGGATATATTATGTTTAAGTGACATTTAAATCCATCAAGTACTCATCACACCAACGCACATTGTCATAAACCAAAATCCTCCTCTTCCAAACGCTGACTATCACTGAATCATCAGAGCATTTTATGACTATTGTTCTGTATTCTGCACCAAGCCAGTTATTGCAATATGAAACTAAAAGAAGGGAACAAAAGCACCAACCTTGAGCGTTTGAATAGGGCCGGTTGGTGAAGGCGCCATTAGCTGTGACGCACTACCATCTACAGTATTACCAACAAAAAACAACAATAACTAACTAGCATCATCTCGGTAAGCACATGTGCCTGGATACCATTTTTATGTTAAAGACAATTTTTCAATATATTTCAATCAAGCATCTAATCAATGCATCGTTATGATCAGATTATCTTTGCGTGTGTCGGGTTAAACCTACAGAGTGTTTCACAAAGGCCGCTAAGTGTCTTCCCTCAGTATAAACTTGAACACAGTAATAAATAGATATTTTTATGTGTATCTGTTGCAGGAGGAGTGCACAATGGAGAGTATGTGTCCTGGCTCTACTGTTATGACCCTATAATGGACGTGTGGGCGAGGAAACAGGATATGAACACAAAGCGTGCCATTCATGCCCTGGCAGTAATGAATGACCGCCTATATGCTATTGGTGGAAACCATTTGAAAGGTAAGCACTCGTGCGCTTCAGGAAATTAACAAAAAAAGAGGTCAAGATTTTCCAATGTATTTTATTTTTAAAAAGAGAAAAAGTGAAAGAGATGCTGCTATTATGAGCAGGCGGCTGACCTTTTAATACACTTCAGCATTCAAGGTGCAAAATGAATACACCTAACAAACAACTGAATTCAAGTTACTGTTTGTATTGTGCATTTGTAATTTACCAGCAAAATTGAATGCTGAATGTGAATTATGCACAGCTCGGTCTTGTATCTTTCTTTCTTTCTAAGCTTTTATATCTAATTTGGGCAAAATGGGTATTTACAGGGTGTACAGAATGCAAGATTGTATTGGCTATACACCACTACAGCTTCAAATTAAGCTCAATAAATCCTTGCATTAGGAAGCCTAAACTCTCTCACAAAAATAATTGTCTTCTCTTTTCTCACGCCTTTGCTTAGTTACTAAATGTACAGTGGGGCAAAAAAGTATTTAGTCAGCCACCAATTGTGCAAGTTCTCCCACTTAAAAAGATGAGAGAGGCCTGTAATTTTCATCCTAGGTATACCTCAACTATGAGAGACAAAATGAGAAAAACAAATCCAGAAAATCACATTGTCTGATGTTTAAAGAATGTATTTGCAAATTATGGTGGAAAATAAGTATTTGGTCACCTACAAACAAACAAGATTTCTGGCTCTCACAGACCTGTAACTTCTTCTTTAAGAGCCTCCTCTGTCATCCACTTGTTAACTGTATTAATGGCACCTGTTTGAACTCGTTATCAGTATAAAAGACACCTGTCCACAACCTCAAACAGTCACACTCCAAACTCCACTATGGCCAAGACCAAAGAGCTGTCAAAGGACACCAGAAACTAAATTGTAGACCTGCACCAGGCTGGGAAGACTGAATCTGCAATAGGCTATTGCAGATTCAGTCTTCCCAGCCTGGTGCAGGTCTACAATTTAGTTTCTGGTGTCCTTTGACAGCTCTTTGGTCTTGGCCATAGTGGAGTTTGGAGNTCTCAGCATGCCCAGACTTGTAGTGATTTTCACCTCTTTTAATACTTTTCGCCTCATTCTGAAAGAAAGAAGTGAAATGTGCAAACGTGACGGCCGTCTTGGTGTAGTGCGAGACGGGAGATGTAGTTCATTGAGCGGTTTCACACAAAGAAAAGTGTTATTTCACAGTTTTACGACACATTTTCATTTTTTTGACTTGCAAAATTATCTTTTAAGTTGTAATTCGTGGCAGAATTCAAACGGGATCAAAAGATAATCTTTCTCTCGCCATTGACTTCAATACATAATTTTTCCGAAATAAGGTCCCATGGAGGTCCACCGGAAAGGGAGGGACTTTGCCTCTCTATAAAGTGCAATATAGTGCAGTATATATTCTATTTCCAGCTGCAACATTAAAGTGTTAATGCATGATGTTAATAATTATGCACTTTCACAGCAAAAGTTTGAACAGGACGTTTATTTATATAATTTCAACTTTGTGGTATCATTTATTTTGGTTAAAAGGTTTGCTTCCTTCTACCACCAATAGTTTGGATACGTGCACTTACTGGCATTCCTTCTCTGAATTCATGGAGCTGTCGTTGCAGTAGAAGAACTTCCCCTTGAAGAGCTGCACGGCGATCACGGCGAAGATGAACATGAAAAGCTGATACACGATGAGGATGTTGAAGACGTTCTTCAGAGATGTGACCACACAGTCGAAAACAGCCTGTGGAGAAGAAAGAAAAAGAGGAATGGCAAAGCAATATCAATCTTTCAGAGATCTGTCAAATAACACCAAGAATAAAATACTAGAGATTTCCTGCAGATGTTAACATCGCACCTTGAGTTTAGGAAGCCTCTTGATGGTTTTAAGAGGTCGCAGAACTCTCAACACTCTGAGAGACTTGATTGTCTTGATGTCTCTGCCTTTGTTGTTTCTGTGGACAGTGAAATACAGCACTCAGGAACAAAGCTGTGAACTCAAAGTCATGCACATGGACATATGGCTCAGACACAATCAAAAACGGTGAAAAATAAAAACATAGTCAAAGAAAAAGGTGCATATCAAAAAAAACAATGAAACACACAACCGTGACTGTGTTTGTACGGAGACCAGCAGGTGGCAGGGGGGGACGTTTTGATCACTTTGCAATTTGTATATTTAATTGATTACAGAAGAAAAAAAGGTCCTGACTTGAGGGTCCCATTTGTTAAGGCAGATGTTATTTGCACCCGGGTGTATATTGCCACACTGTAATTAAGGGACAGAATTACGTAATGATATATTAGCGTGCCCAAATGATCAAAGCTGTTACCTGTTACCTGTCTGGCTCTGCGGTTTGGTGAGATTAAAAAGACATAACAAAAAAACAAAAAAACATACTGAATGCAAAAGGAAAAATCACATAGATAAAAAAAAGAGAGATATACATAAGAAAATGGTGAGAGATGCGAACATTTAGTGCGACTGACCCCATCACATTCCTGGTAGCCCCCAACAGTGATAAAATCCACAGGAACAACAGAGAAAGATTGAGACATAAAGAGAGATTTCACTGTGAGCAAAGCTTGGAGCATCACAGCAATATTCACAACAGAGAAATTAACATACAGTACAATTCTCTGCAGTACAACCAGAGGCACAGAAGGTTATTTGGCACACTCATGCTTGGAACTACGACAAATATAAATATTGAAAAGGCTTTTTAGCTTCACACTCCACCCATGTATAGCGCGAAGATACACAGAAATGTACTTTTTCCTCATGTTGTAGGCTCATGGTGACATTTAAATCTGAGTAACACACTTCACAGGGCCATGCATGCTTCTATATTTGCCGTTTTTAACTGTAGCAACATTTATTTTTGAAGCTACAAAAGGGCATCTTTGGGGGAATGTGGTAAATAACCATACTGTATGTTTAGAAAAGGACACCGCAGTGAGTCAGTCATTAGTCATCGGCAGGCTATATACCGTACTGTTGTGACTCACGTTAAAGCAAAAGCAATCAGAGCTCCCACCACCACGATGAAATCCAGGATGTTCCACATATCTCGGAAATAAGAGCCATCGTGCAGAATGAGACCCTGGTCTATCATCTGAAGGACAAACACCCACAGGGACATGTCAAGTGAAAAGACTGAATACACACAGGGACAGAACATTTGGAGAACGTCATGTTCTTCAGGATTGGTGTAATATAAATGGAGAAAAGAGATGCTTCAGTGGCTGACCTTGATGATCATTTCAAAGGTGAACACTCCAGTGAACACGTAGTCGAAATAACGGAGGACCTGGAAAATGTAGCCAAAAATGTCAATTCAAATAAAAGGTTATTGATTCTGAGGATACATACTCTACATGTATGTACCGCATACGCATTGTCACAGCATGTAAATCAGCACACTTTTTACGTTAACAGCAAATGATACAAACAGATGTTATACTATTTTATTTCTGTTTCCCAAGATCTGTCTTGAGCTGTTACAACAACAACCACATTTTAATTCAGCTTTTTTTGGTCGTGAGCCGCTCCTACTTTTTACTTGTACATTTGATCAGAATAGCGTCCATTTAGATTTTCAGGAGGTGTTGAGTCTGTCTCTGTACTTCTTCAAGAGTAGTACATATTCAAAGTTTGCTGCAGCACATATGGGAATTTAGTCAATCCAGTCGATGGTGTGAAACCTTTTAATATCATTTTAAGTGCCCTTAGTAGATCTTTAGTCTGGCTCTCTGATATTAAAGTTTAGAAATGACTACACTGTGTTTATTTGGTTACTCTTGACACTTCCAGTGACAGGGAGTTGTGAAAAACAAAGTGCCCAGCTATTTCTCAAGTAGAATGTGTGTGAAACCAAGGTGTCACCACACATTGTTGCTGACACAGTGTTAAGTTGAATTGAGATCAAACAGTAAACCTGAAAATTGTCATTTGTGTTTCAGAGTGAGTAATTGTTGTCTTTCTGTCTTTTTCAGTGTTATATGGAAATATTTGCTTCCTGGAGGATAGATGGATTAACACTTGGTCAGTAATTCATTTAATAATAGCGGCAGCGGTCAGTGTATTAACATCAGAATGCTCTGGTGTTAAGTCAATACAAGTCAATAAGTGCTCACAAACTTCTTATTAGTTAAAGAAGTATAAAACCAAATGAAATTAACGAATAGTCATCCACTGCATCCACTGATTTTTTAAGGCGTCTTTCAGCTTTTCAGAAAGTCAGAAAGAATCAGAACATCCAGACGTTTCCCACTTCCTGTGTCAACTGTTGCTTAAATAATAGGGATGCTCGATTATGGCAGAAATCATAATCTCGATTATTTGGGTCAATAATTGTAATTGCGATTATTAAATGCGATTATTCATTGGCTTTGAAAACATGAATTTATTGGAGAAACAAAGTTGAACAGTATGTTTTTAACAGTTGATTAACCTGAACTGTAAGTATAATTCAACCCACTGAAAAACAAAACAAAAATTATTAAAAAAAAAAAGAATAATAATAATAAAAAACACACACACACACACACACACACACACACGAACGCGTCGTTGCTAATCACGCGTTAAAATACGATTAAAATACGATTAATTGAGCAGCCCTATTAAATAACGCATCTCAAAATATTCAAACTTTATTTTATAATTCTCAAATGTAAATGATCATTTTAGCGTTGGATTTAATCTTCGAAAATAAAGAATCAAATGGCTTTCTCCTCCATTTTCCATTTAATATGGTCAGATAATTGCCAGGCTAGTAATGAATATTCAAATTGCCCTGTCTATTACATTTAAATGCTACATTTTGACCTGCATTTGTAGGTTAAAAATTCAAATGCTTTTGTGAGGTTACACGTTCATTTGCCAAACGCTCCCATACCCCGTCCTTCAGTGTAAAAGTACTAAAATGCACTCCTAAAAGAGACTAGTAAAACGTTTTCTTCCTACATGCAATTGATCATCCCACATCTAAATTTAGATCATGAATAAAACAAAAGCTTCTTTAGGATTCTGTCTTCTGATCTCACCTTGTTTCTGTCGGAGTTGGTGCACACAGGGTCCTCAGCAGCCAGTGCTATGCTGCTCGCCACGATCACCAGGAGGATGGTCATCTCGAAGTAGCGCAAAGAGACCATATAGTGACAGATCCTCCTGATTCTGCGTATCAACGAAGGGGGGGGGCGATGTAAGAATGTGGTGCGCACACAAAGAGGAAGCAAACACTACAGCACATCATGTGATATTCAGTGATTTAGTGGATTCTGTAGCATCTTACGGGTTGGAGGCCTTGAAGATGAACATGCTGTCTGGAGCTACAGGTTTGGGAGGAGTCGGAGGTTCCTCCATCTCCTCCTCCTCATCCTCATCATCCTCCTCATCGTCGTCGTCGTCGTCGTCCTCTTCCTCATCATCCTCGGTATCGTTCTCTTTGTCTGTCTGTTCAGAATTGTACGCCTCCAACTCTTTGCTGTTCACTAAAACGCAGACAAAGGTGCAAGAGCAGAGAATAAAGTGCTTGGACAGCTATGATAAAGAAAGAACAATGTGAGTCACCGGCACAATGGATTCATCAAGAAGAAACAATGGCACTCTTCTCAGATGTCAAACACCTACACACGGTGATCCATAGTGATACCGACACTAAATCCCACTTTACGATGCCCAGTAAAGCAGCGTGAGTGCCGTGAGGAGTGATCACAGCTACCTGTCATGGGCCTGAGCTCCAGCAGCGGTTGTGCAGACATTTCGATGGCCACGCTTTCCGCCGGGTCGGATTTGGCACGCTTGATGGAGACATGGCGGCTCTCAGACTCGATGGTCCTCACACTGAACTCTGTGGCCTCTAGGGCGGGCTCCACTGGGAGGGTTTGGTCTGTGTGCTCTCCGTCACCCTGCTCTGACCAGGGACGCTCCAGCAGCTGCTCACACTGGGGAGGGTCAGCAGTTTCTCTGAAATGGGGAAGAACACATAAATATTTTGACTCGGGAATCGTCCCTTTAGAGAGAACCGTGTGTGCTGAATTTCTATCTTTATCTTCTTTACACTTTAACATGCATTTTGATCAAAATGTTAATCCCCCCCTAAGATTTTTAGCTAGCAGCATGTCACTATAGATAGTCATTTCCATATGTCAACCAATTCTTACTGAAATCTCCCCTATATAGTGGGGTGTATTATCCTATTACATTCAAGAACCAAGACAAATGTCATATTATCTATTTCACAATTGTTATAATTTGTCTTAAAACATTTGTTTAAACCACATTACCTTCAGGCTCATCTAAAGCTTGTGCTAAGTACAAATACTCAGTCACACTCCAGTTAAAATAATCTGTACCAGAGAATTACTCTCAACAAGACAATGGATACAAAACACTTGTAAACAAATGCTAAAGTTCATGAGATTGTTAAACCTTTAACAAGAAACACATGAAAACCTCCTTACCCTTGACACTCTTCTCCAACTTCTGCGTATGGGTTGATGATGCATGTTCCCCCATCCTCTTTGACGGACCCTTCCTCTTCCTCTGCTCTCTCTGCCCCCTCTCTTTCGTCCCTCTCCTCCTTCTCGTCCAGGACCCCCTCCTGGCTGTGGGACCGTTTGACCGGCGGCACCTCGTGAGGCGACACGGTGCAGTCCAGACTCTTGGCTTCAGGGCGAGCGTCGCGGTGACGGTGCCTCCTGTGCCGGGCCCCGTCCTCCCCCCCCTGACTGGGTCTGAACTTCCGGGCCATCCTGTGCCGGCCCCCGCCTGCCGCCCGGTGGTTACCTCCTCCTGTTTTCTCCTCGCTCAGGTTAACCAGAGGCTCTGATCCCGGGGGCTCGGGGATGGCGATGGTGACGGACGCCGGGGTGTCTGAGATGGGCGTCCCCACAGACTCGGGCAGTTGACCCGGGGTGGCTTCGGAGGCGGGGAGGGGGACGGCGGGAGTCTCCTCTGTGTCCTCAGTAGGGCCTGCAAGAAGCTCCTCTCTGCTGGCCACCTGGCGACGTTTCCGCAGCTGATTGGCTCTCTGCTCCCACACCGACATGTGGACTTTCCTCCTCCTCTCGCGGCGGCTGACGAAGGCATTGGGGCCCTTGAGGGGCTGTTCTTCTGGGGGCCCCGACCTGTCCTCGGGCTCCTCTGGGAAGTTAGGTCTGCCTCGGTGGATGGCTCGTTTCCTGTATAGGTAGGGTCTTCTCCTCCCACTAAGGACATCAATGTATTTCATATTAGTGTGAGGCAGCAACAGGCAACAATTGAGGAATTGGTGACAAGCAACATCAAGACTTGTGTCCATTTAGCATACCAGTTTGATCAAAGAAAACTCAAACAAATCAAATAAAAGTTGCAAGAAAAGGACAGACCTTTTCTATGGATTTATAATGTTAGTAAATCAGTAACAAAAAAAGAGTCCCATGGAAAAATATGCAAATTACTTCAAGCTAAAAACTACAAATACATCCAAAAATTAAAAAAATGAAGATACCTGAGAGGTAGGGACAGATAAAAAGAACCAAAAACCACAAGAACCAAAAAGATAAAGTGCAGGAATTAGTGTGGAAAAGAATCTCACAAATTGAGTAGGAAAACTTAAGGGAGGAGTTCTGTGAGACAGAGATGCATACACGTATACTTACTGGTGTTCAGATTCTTTTGTTGTCCGTGTAATCAATGAGTGATTATTTGAAAACAAGACATTAGTGTTTTACAACATACACAGAACATTTGTCGTGACACAGAACAAAATGTGTGTATAAAAGGTGTATGTGAAGTTATCCATCTATCCCAGAAGGGACTATAATCAATTGTTTAAGATTCATAATATCTGGAAGCTTTCATTTTTGTTTGGCCGTTACCATTAAATAGTTTTGTCAATTAAGGGTTCAAATTGGTTCAGAATCTGACGGAGCGTCAAAATACACAACATTTTGCTCAGTGCCACATAACAGTCATAAAACAGGACAACGTGATGGAAGCAGCAGAACACTGTAATACACATCAGAAATAGCATCTTGATCGCTGCAACAAGTACAAGACTAACATTCAAATATGTAACAGACAAATGATACATTCAGTGTCACAGCTAGAGTCATTAACCATTACTGTCGTCGTACGTAGAGGTGATTATTTGCATGTGTTTTCACTTTTTAAGTTAAATAGAGTTAAATAGTGCCTACTTGTTTTACTTTGTCTGTAATGCAATTTGTCATTTTGTTAGGAAATATGCTACTTATTCATCATTACTACATGGTTTCATGAGTTTCATGGGAGTTTGAAGGATGCACCATCATTTCAGCCGGGATTTTATTAACTAAAACTAACCAATCGTGTAAACATTCATATTATTACCAGCTTTCAGAGGCTTTAAACACTTAATAAAGGTTAAAACAATCACAGAGACTTTAAAAACACTGCCACTAATTTCAAGTTAGTTTCTGCAAGTTGATTTTCATATGGTTCTGTCCACAAATGGAAATACTCAGAATGTGTAGCTAATGGTGTAAAACATGCTAAATCATGATCTGAGTCCTAATCAAGCTGCCAGGCCTGAGCTTAATGTCCCTGCAGTACATACTCTTTAGTAATCAGTGTTTAAGAATGGGTCACTCTGCGTTAGTAATGCCGCTGATGCGACATCTAGTATTAACAGCTCCTCCATTGTCACTGTGGTGACACTGAGGACACAGAGTCATACCAAGAAGGGATTCTTAGTCATCATTTGACACACAAACTCCAAAGTGTGCCTCCTCCCAGTAGATTGACACACTGAGACTTCTAACTATTCCCAAAGATATTTGAAAACTTCCTCCTGCCCTCCTCATGACTTACTGGATTATTAGACCTGTGGGAAAGCCACCAGGTCATCAGGAGGAGCGGGAGGTCAGTGAAGAATCTCATTTACAACAAGAGAGGCTGCCCATTACCGCTCGCAGGCTAAGAATGTTACAGAAGGAGTTTCATATATGCTGCAAAACCAGTCTCAGAGATCATGCTTCTAAATCAGGCACAACCAATAACCATTCAGAGTTATGTCATCAATGCCTCAAACAAGCCTTTCTAGCGTTTCATTCACCATGCACCTGGAGGCACTGAAGACCAGATTGAGCATTCCTCAGTTACACCTACTGGTTCTCAGAGAGTCCACACACACTGGCATAAATATTGATCTTAGTTGTTACCCCTAATTGATTTTGACACTTTTTCATAGAAGCAGCATGATGATCAAATTCAGGATCACCACCAGTTCTCCCACAAACATTGAGTTTGAATTCACTACTTGCATCTGTTGCAAAAACACAAAACAATTTGAGGAGTCGTGACAAATACAGCCCAATGAGAGTTTATCTGAGAAGCAGTCCCACACTCACGACTAAGAACTTCCTAAAAAGCTCATTTTTGTTAGCTCTTAAGCAATAACTTACTCAGATATCAGGCCATCTCTGCCTCTGGCATATCTCTGGTTGAAGAACTCCTCCTCCTCCTCTTCATCCTAATAAAGATAAATACACATTTAAAGGACGCATAAACCTATTCATTATTACACATTTAACATACATCATTGAATGTGTGCGATAAATATATTTAAATAAAAAAAAAACAGAGGTAAAAACTGTTCAGACCTTTGTCAGTTCCTGTGCATTGGCCAGATTATCCACAGCGATGGCCAAGAAGACATTCAGTAGAGTGTCTGTCATGAAAGCAGTTAAGAACAACAAACTTTGAATGCAGCACTTGTATTTGTGATGGACTGTTATACCACTCACTGCAGTATCACAGCTTTTACTAAAGAATCCACAGTGTCAATAAGGATACAGTTTCCAAACAGGGTGAGCACTATGAAGTAGATTGATGACCACATGCCGTACTGCACTCCACCCTGCGAGCGAATCCCGTTATACATCACCTCGTTCCAGTCCTCACCAGTCAGAATCTATAGGCAAATGCACATAAATAATTACGTTGCTCATATTTGATCTGCCTAAAAATTCCCCGAGCAGGCTATATACTGCATTCCCTGTATGCAAACCCGTTCAAGATATGGTATTTAAATTGTCAAGGAGAAAGATAATTACTGTTTGTGTTGATCAAAACACTCTTTCAAAGTGCGGTTGGTTTTTGTAGCGGATCTGATGTGGATTTATTCACGTTTCTGATATTCATGTGCGCATATGTGTGCATGGTTGTGTGGGATGATAGCGGAGGCAGGGGGTGGAGAGCGAGTGAGGAGAGTTGTTTAATCTGCGCCTGGGGTGAGAAATATCCCAGGGTGCAATGTGTCATGGAGAGCAAGCAGAATGAGGGGATCTGTGGGAGCCAAACCTGAAACACTGTCATGATGGAAGCTGGAAACGTGTCAAAGTTGGTGGGAGTGTAATCTTCAAAGATGAACCTAGAGGGAAGGAAGATAGAAAGCAGGGTCAGATACAACCAAGGAAGAAAAGATGGAGGAGGAAGAAGAGGAGGAGGAAGCAGAGCTATTTTTATCTGGACATGTCATTTCCTCTCCTCTTCATCATTCAAGAAACGGCTGTAACAGTTTGCAGGGTGTGTAGCTTACATTGCCCGATCTGATTTGTAGCTTAAGATTTTCTATGACATTAGGCATCAACAATCACGACCAGAAAATAAAGAGGTCCTCTATAACTTAAGAAATGAGGATGCTTAGAAGTCCTTTTACTCACCTTCCTCCAAAAAGCTGCATCCCCAGCAGAGCAAACACCACGATGAACAGAAAGAGGAGAAACAGCAGGCTGATGATGGACTTCATGGAGCTCATAAGGGACACGACCAGGTTCCTGAGAGACGCCCAGTATCTGATCAAAAAGAAATCACATGTTTTTTTGTCAGAACAATGTGGGAATATTTACACAAATACATCAGAACTCCAAAATCCACTTTGTCTTCCTTACTTGGTTATTTTGAATATTCTCAGGAGTCTCAGCGCCCTCAGTACGCTGATCCCAAATGACATGCCGGGCCTGATGAAGCCCCAAACTACCTCAAAGATGCTGCCAACAATGACCTGAAACACATGACAGCAATCACAAATCATGTCCAATAGGCTCCATGTGACCAGAAACTATTTGACAACAACAACATCATATCTAGAGTAAATGAGAAAAGATGTGTGCTTTTTTATATTTGTGTTTTTATTGCTCTCAAATCAATGCACAGGTTTTGATGCTAACCCCTTTGTTAGCCTTATTTGGGGTTGAGGAGAGCTTAAAGATAGCTGACCAAGCTTCTTGTTTGAGGATGTGATAGCACTCTCCCAACAAATTCCTCAGGGTTGTGGTGTCTCAACTTTGTCTGTGCTATTTTCAAAATGTTATTTGTTAATTTGTAATGTGTAACAAGTGATTCTGTCTTTAATGTTGACTTGATAATACAAGGTCCTTATTATGCATGTGTTTTAATGTGCTAGGTATAGTCGTCATGTTTTAGTTTTACATTCTTATATTTGAATGATACAAAACATGTCTTACAATAATCGAAAGTACGAAATATTTAGCTAATTATTCCTCATTTTGCAACAGAAATCCAACTCTTTCTTCGTGATATGGAACTACATTTCTTTGAGTTACTTTTTTCTTGTTCAGAATGTAATATAAGTCTCACCCCACAGTCAAAGCAGTTGAAAGATGAATGGAAGTAGAGCCGGAAACCCAGACCATACATTTTTAAAAACATCTCAGCCAAAAACAGCCCCAGAAAAACAAACTCTGCATAGTCTGGAGAGGAGAAAACAATTAAATCACATTTTTGACCTGAATTATTTGTAAAGCAGTAGATTATACTTTGATGTAAAAAGTGAACCCACAGAGGAAGATGGTCAGCCAGTCGGGCTGGTTGTGGTGGACGATGGCCACACAGATGGTGTTGAGAGCCACAAGACTGAGCACCATCAGGTAGAAAGTGTCCGTCTTCACCATGCGGCGGATGGAGATGCGTAACATGCGCTCTTTACGCCGCAGGTAGGCTGCTGGGCCTCGCCGGCCGCTGCGGAAGTTCATCCTGGATCGAGACATGCCTGAGAGAGAAAGATGGAAAAAATGAGTTCAGGAGAGTAAGGACGTGGTATTCTGTAGGATAAAAATACAGTATGTGACTTAGGAGAAGAAGTCTGCTCTGAAGGTTGTGTGAGTAACTGAACAAAGTTATACTCACTGGCAGTAGACATGTCTGTATACTTCTCGTCCCCTGGCGCTCCTCTCCGTGCACCAGTCTTCTTACTCGCTCTCTTTAGCACTGAAAATACATTTTTATATTTTAAATGAAAAGGAGAAACAGCAAAATGAAATTATCATTGGTTATCCACCGCTGTACTTTAAGCCAGCGTTCAAAGAAGTGCCTTTGACATGTTACTAGACATACAGTAGATATTGAGTAAAACAGTTGAATCCAACAAGACAGATTATATTTTTGGGCCGTTATATAATATTGAATCATCACAGATCCATGTGTAAGTAGGAGTGATTATCCAAAGGTGTGTGAACTCACCATCTAACGGCGATCTCCCAGAACTTTTATTCTCCTCTGCCAGCATAACCTCCTCTGTAATATCATAAAACTTGAAGTTATACACAGATTTATTTGCTTTAAAAGAGGCACAATTTGAATGATCAGGCATGAAAATATACGTTGAATGGTTGTACTCTTTAGGATGTCTGCTAATATTTACAGGAACTGATGTGAATGTAACTTTGAGAGGCCGCTATGACCTTCTTTAGAGAAACAGCTCTTATTCTCACTTCATTTCTCGCAATATCTCTCTCTCTCTTCCTTCCCACACTCACCCACATCCATGTACACATAAATATGTACCGCAGCTCTCACACACACACACATGCATGTAAACACACAAACCAATGGGTGTGCACAAAAATGTAGTCAGTGAGTCAGTATAACCTTTTCTCACCCTCTACTTGCGTGGGAGACTCGCAATGTAGATTGCCATTACACCACTGTGTGTGTGTGTGTGTGTGTGTGTGTGTGTGTGTGTGTGTGTGTGTGTGTGTGTGTGTGTGTGTGTGTGTGTGTGTGTGTGTGTGTGTGTGTGTGTGTGCAACTCAAGGGAAATACTGTACTGTAGATTCAAAAACGGTGTGTCTGTTGCAGGGAGATAGCTTTACGAAATCAGCTGTGAAAAAGCCTGACCATAATGCAACAGTAAATAAATTTCACAGACTAAATCCCAGTTCCTTTAAAGGCATTTGGCTTCACACAGTTTAAGCACGTTTTCATTGAAATTGTACTACTAGTGTGCTTACAGAGTTACTTTCTAAAATGTTTTGTTTGGAAGTCCAAAAAAATAAACAAACCTTCCATAGAGATCGTGAATACCAAAATTAGTCACAAAATGAACACAAGGATAAACAAAATGAACCAAAAAGAGATGCTAACAATAACAAAAAGACCAATGAGAGACGCAACACTTATATAAAAGAAGACACACAACAACCAAAAAAAGACAAATACACCACAAAGAGACAGCAAAACTACAAAAGAGTAAAGCAAAGTCACAAAATGTCGCCCAGAATGTGTGGCTCTAGTTTTTACTCTATGTACCGGGGGTGGGGGACCTATTGTCCATCCATTCCTCCACGTAATTAAACATCTGTGTGTGTGTGTGTGAGAGAGAGAGAGAGAGAGAGAGAGAGAGAGAGACAGAGAGAGACAGAGTGTGTGTGTGTGTGTGTGTGTGTGTGTGTGTGTGTGTGTGTGTGTGTGTGTGTGTGTGTGTGTGTGTGTGAGAGAGTGTGTGTGTGTGTGTGTGTGTGTGTGTGTGTGTGTGTGTGTGTGCAGGAGTGAAGTGGTTCTGCTGCCCAGTACCTGCCCTGTCTATCCAGGCTCTGTAGCCGTTCAGTTCTCTTTCCGCCTGCTGCTGGCGGCGAAGCTTCATGAAGGCCCGCCTGTTCTCCACCCTCTCCCTTTCCTTGGCAAACTCTCTGAATAAGGAAGCAGAAAAACAAATGTAATACAGACCTAAACACCTGTGTTATTATCCACAGAGGAAGAGTCACACTCACCCGGACAGGACTCCCAAAACCAGGTTCAGCACGAAGAATGAGCCAATGATGATGAGAGGGATGAAGTACATCCAGTTCCATGTGGTACCCAAAGCATCGTTGGTCTGAAACCCATTACATTCATGTCATTAAACAACAACCTCCTGATGCTTTGAGGTTCGTTCCTTTCAGCAGAACTGAAGCTCACATTATAGAGAACGGCCGTCCATCCCTCCATGGTGATACACTGGAAGACGGTGAGCACAGCGAACAGGATGTTGTCGAACTGCGTGATGCCGTCGTTGGGTCCGATCCAGGTGTCGTTGCATTCGTATCCCTCCGGACACTTCCTCACTCCGCAGGCGAACGCCAACTCTGACGAGTCAACCGTCTGATTTTCTACAGAGAAAGGAAACATATAGTTACGGACACAGCTTTTTTTATTACCACAAACTCTCATGATGGCTGTCGTTGTTTTATTCAACTTTATTTTGTGTATCCTGTGTGTTTGTAACCACAACTTGTTCTATTTACAACAAATATTTTGTTGTTAAGAATGAGCTCTACAGAACAACACGCTAAAGAAACACTGAGTTCACATAGTTTCTGAACAATGTATGATCTTTTTACTGGATATTATCGCACGTCATTTATTCTAAGACTTTTACAGCAGATTGTGCATTCTGCAGTGATGGCAAATATATCTTAAAGTCCCCTTCTGTTCATAAATGAGATTGTATGTCAATATTTGTATTAAAACATGTCTGGAGGGTATTTTTAAACTTTGAATATTCTGTGAATATTAGAAAATTAAAAAGGGTGATTTTCCTGTTCTAAATACAGTTTATACTTATTTCGGTTTATAATCTTAAAACCATCTTTGAGTGGTGCTGGGAGATAAATGCTATGGTGTGGCGCGTGATTACAGAGTAGTTGTTGAGTAATTAAGCACTAGCTAAATTAGCCAGCAACAAATCTAATAATACCTCTTAGCTCGCTGCTTCTGTAATCTATGAAAGACTCAGAGTCTCAAACAAAGATATTCCCACCCTCTACTTGAGACATTTCAGCAAACCACTTTTGGTGTACTGTACCTGCTGCTAACCTATCAAAGTGAATAATTAATCATCGAAAAACGTTTGAGAATTGCTTCAGTTTTGTGTTAAAAGCATTCTCAGGACAGAAGGTGCACACAGATGGAGAGGTAGTCAAGCCAAAATGAATCCTTAAGCTGTTGGACATCATTATGCCTTCTAAGCATTAAAACTAAAGGGTGAACACGTTTGTTGTTTGAATATGAATTAAACCTTTTATTCTAATTCTGACAGACTGACATCAAGAGGTTTGTTTTGATTTAGTGACAATATTTGCCCCCCTACAAACATCGGAAATGTCTTTTGATTGAATCCAGATTGAATCAGTGATTAACAAAACAAAAAAGGAGACAACAATTCAAGGACGATCCCAACACAATGAGAAAATATATTTGAGAAAGTGTTTTAAGACATCTGCCAATTCAGGACCGAATCCAAAGCTTTTGACTCGTGTCTAACTATTTACTTTCACACTCTTTTAGCAAGAGAGATGACTGCCCTCCTTGCTCCATAAGACAAAGAAACGCACCAAGGAGTTCGACAGATGGCAGGCAGTTTTGGTTAAGCTTCCCGCTGTAAAACTCCAGACCAATAATGGCGAACATGAGGATGGCGAAGAACAAGAGCAGGCCGATCTGTAGCAGCGGGATCATGGCCTTCATGATGGACTTCAGGACAATCTGCAGGCCTTGAAGCATTCACAAAGAAAAAGTCAGGGATAACAACACAGTAGTTTTCCGAGCAATATTGTAAATTAAATGTATTTGTCAGTGCCTCTCCTCTGCTCATTAAGAGTTAATGCTAATTGCACTAAAACGTAAGTTATTTCAATTGCATATACAGTATATTTTGTATTTCTAAAACATAGGTTTGTATCACCACAGTGATAGCAGTTGAATCTTTAAAAGTAAAGTCCTGCCAAACTCAGCTTGAGACTTAAGAGAACATATTCAGTAGCCTCAGACTCTGCCATGAGTTTTTCTTTCCACCTAACTCCCTCAAGATGAATAACAAAATGCAGTCTTGTAACTATAAATGCAGTTATGAGCTGTTAAGAATGGAAAATAAACTGCAAGACACCTGCTTTCCGAAATGTTTCTACATATCTTAGCTGTGTTTCACAGGTTTTTAATCAGACACCATAGATTTTGAATACATTGGTGTGTTTTGGAAAATGACTTTAGTGTCATTGCAAAATGCACAGGCTCCAAGCTCATAAGGACTTCAACATTCATCTTAAACCTTGAAATGATGCACCTACACTTGTATCGATGGTCTGCCTTTCACAGTAAAGGGATTGAGCACCTTCTTGCAAAAACAAATGCAATTTTCTGAATGTTTTGTAAACACATTTTTTTTCAAGTAGTATTAGGAAATGTAAGATGACTGACACATTCTCAAACGCCAGCTGAAACCGTCCGGACATTTACTTGCAAAGAATAATGATGTGTTATTTGCATTTATATCAGTTAGTTCGACCTCACGGTGCAGGATCAGGGATCAGTGGCTGACTCACTGGGTATCCCCGAGACGAGTTTAAGAGGTCTCAGCACTCGCACCGCCCTCAGGGTCCGAAGGTCAACGGGGATGTTCATGTGGGCTCCAGCAGTGGCCATGATCCTGATGGACCACACACACACACACACACACACACACACACACACACACACACACACACACACACACACACACACACACACACACACACACACACACACACACACACACACACACACTGTATACTTAATACACAGATATTTGTGATGGTGTAGGGCTGCTTGGCAAACACTACATTGTTATATTTCTTATAGTACTTTGGGTAGCACTTTACAATAAGACTAACCTTATAAAGGTTCATAAAGGGTTTATAATTAGGCTATGAATTAGGTTGTAAACACTTTATTAATCATTAAGAACCATTACAGATACCAAGGATGCTGGCTGATGAAGAAGACGAAGTAAGCTAGGTAGCCAATATAAGACTTAGCAGTACAGATAAATGTGGGCTCACTAATTAATAAATGAATTACAAACTATTTGTAAACCCTTTATAAGGGTAGTCTTATTGCAAAGTGGTACTGTACTTTGCTAAGAGAGTTCAAGTAATATCTATTTGTGCCGGCCTGAAAAGGAAAACAAATGTGGGTTAAAATTGAGAAAATGGTGCAGGTAGATAAATTAGTAGATACATTAGTAGATACATTAGTAGATCAATCTAGCCCAGCTCTTTGCTTTCTTGAGATTAATGTAAACATCTGTGTCGTTGGATACATTTAATCACAGAAATAGGTGAAAGGTAACAAAAAGGATGTAGCTCAAGGACAGGAAGAGGAGAAACACAAACTGATTGGATGTAATGCTGACAACAATGCAACCATTGAGAGGGTACCGTCTATCCATTAAATGTACCACACTCGTACGGTGAGAGACAAAGAATGCACAGCTAAACCTGGCAGGCATATCTACTCACATCTACCCACACACACACACACACACACACACACACACACACACACACACACACACACACACACACACACACACACACACACACACACACACACACACACACACAGAAGTCCCTCCACCTACACACAAACAATATGAAACAACAACACGAGCAACCTGCAGGCAATCTCTTACCGTGATACACCGCAAATCATGAAGGTGAATGATTCTTGTAGCAATGGAAACAAATACGGCTTTATATTAATTTAAATTAGAGGAAGATGTAGAACATAATGATGAGAAAGTGCTACAATGTCACTGCCACACATTTTCCATATATTCAAGGTGAGATCAATCGAGCCAATTCGATGAACCGCAAGCATTAAAGCTTTTCACTTTGTCAGAGGGCCAATGTCAACTGTTTATTCAAGTAATAATTGAATTAACTTAAATTATCCAAGGAATGCAAATTATCCCCAGATTTCTCTCTGTTTAACCATAACTAACTCACAATATCTTAGGACGGCGTTAGAAACTATGGGGGAGGGTGTGTGTGTGTGTGTGTGTGTGTGTGTGTGGAGAGAGAGATAGAAAGCAGGGGGTAGAAAGCACATGGCAGAAACTCAAGTGTAAGCCCACGCAGAATCTCTCCTGAAAGCAGTGGGAGGGAGCGAGGCCGAATGAGCGAGTGAATGTGTGAGGCCACGTTCACACTTCTTCAGAAAAACCTGAAAAAACGATAATTGTAGATCATCTAAAAGATTTATAAAAAAATTGCATTATTTCGCCTAAGTGTGTGTACATTTTATTTCCACATTAAAATGTGAACTCTATAGGGCTATTAATGTTGGATAGTGTTGTATCACAAAGGAATGCTTTTGGTGGTGGAGTAGTAATCCAAATAAAGAAGTCAATTGATCGTGATGTTTTAAACTTAAAACAACCCAATACAAAACCTCCCCAGGTATACTACACTAGGTTTTTAGGAGAATTCACAGGAAGTGTTGTAGCAAGATTCATTCATCAAATCAAATCAAGTTTCATTTATATAGCACATTTATAAACGATTTTTGGTCGAGCCAAAGTGCTGTACATATAATAAAAATAGCCTACAGTAGAGACACTTTACAGCAAATACAACAGCACAGATTGTTCAGAATATCAGTATGAGAAAAAAATACACCCTCTATCCTTCGTTGCCTATTCATTCTATTCATAGACCAACCACATTAAATTCTTTCATTTCTTTGGAAAAAACTGGGGACTACTCTGGGGGGAAACTGATATTTACAAGTTGGGCAAACACAGATATTAAAGGGATACTGAAGGCATGTTGATGTACCAAAGATAGAGACAATTAATAATGAAGTACAGGCCAAGTTTGCAAAATGCTGTAGCCAAATACTACCTGACAGCGTATTTTCTTACAACCTGGGAAATGACATTGTAGTGACTTTCAAACGCCACATTTTTCTGTTTTAATGTTGACTCAAAGTTGTACATTTTCTGTTTCAGGAATATGACATCATCAGTATTATTTATGTGTTAGAAATAATTGGTTAGTTGGGCGATCAGTCGAATGTAAGTATAAATCAGAGCATACTGTATCCTTATTTACATACCAGTAAATATTGCACGTTATATGCCATTCTGTCAGATTACTAAGGAAGGTATAGTTTTGTTTGAGAGATTTGTTTCTACACTAAAATAACCAGATAGCTATCAAGGGCAGCATATCAAATCAAACTATTGTCAATTAATTAAGCGAGTGAGTGAGTGAGTGAGTGAGTGAGTGAGTGAGTGAGTGAGTGAGTGAGTGAGTGAGTGAGTGCCAGACAAAGAGATGACACAGCGAGAGACACTGAGACGGTACGGGAGCAGAGGAGTGGGAGTTTGCGGAAATAGCCTTCAAACCAAACACACAGAACAAAGGCAGCAGCACTCCTTCAAGGCTGCACTTTAGAGCACAGCAGCTCAGCAGAGGCTCAAAATTAAGGCAAATATTTGTGTCTGTTTGTGGTATCTTGTGAAGCATCCCCACATATACTTTTGTCAGTTTAAAACATTGTTTTCTTACATCAACTTTGTGACAAGATAGGTTTGAATGTAATAATGACTTCACCACAAGTAAGTTATGATCCGCTGTTTTCTGATTGACGCAGTTAATCACGGAGCGTCAACATATATTGCTCACCTTCTTGTACATGAGACAGCCTGACCTCTTAAATCCTCTGAAAAAGAGTTGCTTGCATTCCAAACACTGAGAACAAGAGATTGATAAATGGTAAAATGGTAAATAGACTGTATTTATATAGCGCTTTATCAGGTCTTTACGATCCTTCATATCTCTTTGCATACTACAAGTCGTTCCCCCTTGCACCTTGTTCGGACAGCAGCGCCAATTACATTCAAAAACCGAATTTGAATCAACATTGTATTTAAAGTTGTATTTATGTTAACATTTTCTTTTCTTATTGTAAGTATGTTTCAGTTTATATCTTTGATTTCTTCTGGTTAACTTAATTGGCCAAGTTTATCCTGCATTTCAAAACATAGTTCCAAAAACATCCAGTTTTGCGGGAGTGAAAACGAGCCCGACAGAGAGAAATTGTAATAGAATAAATGTATCACTTTGTCGGGGCTTTCAGTAAGCAGAGCACACACACACACACACACACACACACACACACACACACACACACACACACACACACACACACACACACACAACGATTCAGCGGCGAGTTCATGTTCATACTGAGAGGCTAATCTCTTCCTCTTTGTCTCCTTAAGTGAAGCACTGTTGCACAGTTTTAAACCAATCTGGCTCTGGAGAGGCTGAATTCATTACATGCACAGAATGCAGGCTCTCCCACACACCTCCACCTACACCAAGAACGCCTCCAAAAACTACAGCAATCAGCAGCATCACGTTGCTCACCGCTCACACAGCTCTGTATGGTAATGTGCAGCTGAGTCAACGTCAACATTATGCGTCAACAAATTAATGGCTTTGATTGAAATCTGGAGACAAAAAATCATCGTGTGTCTAATGGCAACGCTAATACTGCTCTGTTGAATTGGGATTACATACAAAAAAAAAAGATGTATTCATGATTAGTCATAGAATAATGGGCTGGTGTATGTGTTCCCAAAGAACAGCCACCTGGGACTGTATGCTCTATTGTTCGTTCAGTTCAATTATGAGACTATATTTAGAGTGGAGACCACTGCAGCTGATATTTTAAACACTTTGCATAATACACATGAAGTTGTCAAGAGTTTAAATCTTAATTTCTTGGAAAATATTTTTGCCTCATGTGCCGCAGCGAGTGACATCAGACTCATTGACTCATTTCCCTGAAGCCAAAGCCTCCAGGAGTGTGTTGCACCAGTAACATATTCTAATACATTAGTCACTTGATAGAGTTGCACCATTACAACATTTAGTCATGTTTCAGTGAGTTTTGTAACCACTAAACTCTTTGTAATAACTAGTTGGCGTTGTGCAAGCCGATTGTAATTTTGTAGTAAAGCGAAAATATATTCTAAGTTTGAATTTACAAAACAACTCATATTGTAAAGTGTATGTTATTGAACTGGAAACCATCCAAGTGTGTACAGTGGGGGGGCCAACTGCTTTCTGTTGTCCTACTTTCCCTACCATCTTACCAACACACTGTTGCAATGAGTCACAAAAATCAGTCCACAGACACATTGACATACATAAACAATACCAGCTGTGGATGGTAATAAAGTCACGTTACTAACATCACCACAAACTAACACGACACACAGAGAAGGTGGGCCAGGCAGTTTTAAACCAGCACTGCAATCACACTTGATGCAATGCCGAATCAAGTGCCGTATGTTGTGGAGACCTATGTCCACTTTGCAACTTCAAACTCCCTTGTTCGGACCCCACCCATCTTCAAACGCTGCCTTCAGTTTCAGTTTTGTGACGCCCAATCAGTCCAGAGGTGAAGGTGGCCAATGACTCACTCCTGTGTGTCTGTCTTTGAGCCAGATGGCTAATGAATCACTCCCAACTCCCACCTAGCTGAATTATTCATCCTGTATAAAGAGCAGCGACTTTAGCAAGGTGTCACACTGTGTAAGAGCGACAGCAGAGTGGGGCAACAATGGAGAGCAGACATCTGTAACACAACATG